CCAGACAGATTATTCCACATCCCGGGCGCTTATCCTCTATTCTCGATCACAAGATACACAAGACCTATCACTGTGTCCGTAAGAGCTTCAAAGTTTATTTACTTTAATTTATCCAAAACAAGGAGAAGATTTCTCAAACGCTTATTCATCCCATTATCGCCTACGAATCAAACAGAAGTGTCACGGACCACAATATCTATTTGGATAAGGACTGTCATTCTCCTCCGTGCTCTACAAGGCAGCAGGCTTGGACCCACCAACAGCATCAAATCCACATGAGATCAGGGCACTGGCCTCTACCCTCGCCTCTACACGTAACTGTTCCTTGAACACGATTATGGAAGGATGCTATTGGAAATCTAACATGGTATTTGCTAATCACTACCTAAGAGACATCACTACAGAAGATGTCTCTGGCATTCACCATTTCGACCACTGGTCCCTCGCCAGCAACTGACAGTCCCTCAGAGATGCTAAAATATTAGCCTCACAAGATTAATATGTATTTTATACATACTCATCTAGCTTATAACTCTAAGGAGTTTTAGGGCTATGTATATATGTTCAGCTTAAGTATTCTACCTTAAGCATATACTTGATATAGTCAATTTCAGTGCCTCTATCAGAGTCACCTATATATATATATATATAATTTATATGTATTGTTCAATATATTCATAATGTAATTCCCTTTAATGGCTTTATATAACCTATGGTTTTTTTATACAGGAAACATCCTAAATCTAAGGCTTCATGAAGTTCCCGTCAGAGGGGATATTACAGTATATCTATACAAAATCACCAATTATAAATCCAAAGTATTCTGTTACCCACCTCCCGCTCCGTAGGATGCTACAAGCAAAAGAGCATGAGTCAGGATAAGGAAAAATATGTAATTTTTAGAGTAAAATTGATATTTTATACTTATCCTGACTCATGAGGTTAGCTCCTCCCATCCTCCCACATAACACTTTGGATTTCCCTGTAAATTCAAGTGTTGGGCTCGCTAAATCAGGAGAGAGTGGAGCACATGGCCAGAGGGTGGCGACACCTTTTCCCGCCAGGGGAGACAAAGGGGAGCAACTCGTGGTGAGTACCAATTAGTGATTTTATTTTGAAGGGAGCTTCAAATAAGGAGATACAAGTGTTCCACTATGTTCGCAAGAAGAAGAAGACAAGCAAAAGAGCATGAGTCAGGATAAGTATAAAATATCAATTTTACTCTAAAAATTACATGTTTGTTGTAACAAGGGATGACCACCTAAGCTGATAAAAACACTCACCTGGAAAGCAGTCATGGCCCTTATTACCAAGCCTGGGAGGACATGTTTCCTTAACATTGTAACTGTGTTCTTGCTAGGTAGACTACCTAATCCCCAGCAAGTACAGTGCAGGATAAAACATACTAAACTTGCAAACATTGACCAAACTTTGTGAAAGCAAACTTTAAGAACGCAGAATACACATGAAACAAAATGCCATGAAGTGATAAATACTTTTAAATCCTCTGAAAGTTCAATCATAAAACATATGTGTCATCTATTTGAAGAGGAAACATGGTTTAATAGTTTTCCAACCACTAGATATAAACCACTATGTAAGTGACGAACATTTTAGGCAACGTCATGTCTTCAGAAACACTGCCTTGTCCTCAGATAGACTTAAACTGGACAGATTTCAAGATATTGAAAAGTGAAAACAATCATTTAAAGAATTAAATAGAATGTTTGGGAGCTGTGTATATGGTCTCTGGTACAAACTTAAAATTAACATTATCTTCATAAATCTTAATTGTTTAAAGGCAGAAAAGTAAACTGTTCTTAAATTTAATTATCATTCAGTCTTTTTGGGGTATAAATTTCAAATGATGATACTGTAATTATTATCCCCCACCACGAAGTGGGAGGGGGATATAGGTTTGAGCTCTGTCCATTCGTCCAAGATGATGGGGACAGATTTTCTCAAAAACTGTTATAGACAGGGAAACCAAATTTGGTATGTATTTACAGGACATGAATGCCTTGATGGTGTTCGAAAACGGAAACTGTGTTGCAAATACTTAACAGAGTTATGGCCCTTATCATGTGTTTCTTGACTTAGTGCACGGTATCCCCAATTAGGACAGATTTTCTCAAAAACTGTTATAGAAGGGGAAACCAAATGTAATATGTATTTTCAGGACACAAATGCCTTGATGGAGCTCGAAAATGGAAACCATGTTACAATTCTTTTCAGAGATATGGCCCTTGTCATGCGTTTCTCATTTAACAACTTCTGTATTGCTATTTGTAGGAATGATGAATAGTGGTCATAAAGGAACAGAACACTGTGGGAAATTGATGACGATTGTCTTCTTGTTTAACATGAGACTAACAACGAAAATTCTGGAAATAATAGGACAGTAGCTCAATATTGATCCAATCAAAGCGACAGAAATATCTGCTACTAGGACGAAATGTTCCTTGTGGTTGTTATTGATGTTATGGTAATGTTTCTATTGCCCAATTGTAAGCCTGCCTCATCAAATACAGAGTGACATTACTTTGTAAACTCCGAAACATGACTAATAACTGAACAGTAAGTGATGGTGTCAATGTTTATTTAGAAATGAAACGTTCGTTACATCACTACTTCCTATTTCAGATGGCTCTCAATTTTTAGTCTTTGGTGATGGTATACGTCCTCTTTGACTTCCCAGATGGGATAGGAGTCATGTGATATTTAAAAAATAGTATCAAAACTTCAAAAGGGTGTCCTCCCATTACGCAGACAGGCAGTTTGCATATGCCTTAAAACAACAACATTTATGGTTCAATGAACAGATTAGCTACTACCTGTTACCTACACATTATAATGGAATAGTCCAAATAAAAACACAGGAGCAAACCGAAGCTGTATTATTTACTTTGAAGATGGCCGAAAAGACAGTAATTTGAATTTTAATTGCTGCAATATAAAAAACAGTTGATTTTCATAAACATTTCAGTGTAACCTTCTAGTCTAACGGGAGTTGGCAACATCATATTGAAAACATTGTCAAAACGATATCTGAAATGATTGGAGCATTTCCTACTAAATAGAACAACTCTTCAGGATTTACTCCCACCTGTAGTAGGCAACCGTACAAGCTATGCGTTAAGAAACTCCGATACTTTAGACAACCATGTACAAGACTGAGGGAGTAAATTAAAAACTCTACATCATCTTTTATTCCATCAGCAGTTAAAATGAGGAATAGTATTCCCTTAGCTATTAGAAATTGTGACTCTGTTGCAACTGTATCATTTAAATCTTATATCCACGTGAAAGGCAAATGTGAACCTAAATATTATTCATATGGAATAAAGAAGTTAAATGTTTTGCACACAAGATTAAGATATGTGACGAGTACACAATGATGATTTGGGTGTCTGTCACTTGGGAGATAACCTTCCCAACCTTCACAAGCTATGTAGTTTCGAATACCCTGGTAACGAACATTTCAATCACGGATATTACATACTCTGGCAAATCAAGCAGTAAGTTACCATTAATCACATACAAGCTTTGAATATTTTCTAACTATGTGAAAAAGACCACAATTCCCTAATTTGGCAGTGGTAACGGACATTTCACTCTTATATCTACGCATGGAATATTTTCTATGTATTGAGATATGTTATGCAGAGAGATATTCTAAGCCCCAAATAATGACAAATACCATTAATGTAAACATAAATTGTATTCATTCAAAGTGAATGGGAAAGATTATGGTTTGTTCTACACATGTACATGTCAAGCTGACAATTATTTCCTCAAAAACTGAGACCAATGTTTTGTACATTCTGAATACTACAAACGTAATCAACAACATTTCAAAGTAAAAACAAGCAAACAAATGTACAATTTTTACCTACAGGAAATATGCACAGATTTTGAGAATGACTCATATATAATTAGTATATTGTGAGAAACATCGGATTAACATCAACAACAGCGTGTTATTGAATGATAAGTGGTACATGGATTAAGAACAACCAATAGCACTGGTGCTGAAGCAAATAAGCCATTTTCAGATCTTTTAAATAAATTAGAATATATTTCTGTTCCTGTTTAAAAAAGACAGGATAAGATAATGACAGAGCCAATTTCAAGAACATATTTCGATGATTTATTATTTTTTAGATATTGTCATGAACTCTCTTCAGTTAACTTACTGGGTCAGTTCTTCTCATCTTACAGGTCTGTAAGCGGTCAAATGTGTTTCGAAAAGTATATTCCAGAATGGTGCCAGTATCGGCTGCTTGTTATGGTTTTCAGTCTCACATTCTCTTTGATTATGTTCCTTGGTCTGACAACGTCAAACCATTGTTTCAGCAAGTGGGTAATGTCAACCATCGACATCAGTATTTCTCCAATAGTCACCATTTGAGATAACAAATAAAGCATCCGAAGTGCTATCACTAAATGTGTTCAAAGTTCAAAGTCTAATTACTCATTCATGTGGCCCAGTTTTCATAGGTGCCACATTCACTGTGCAAGATTAATGTGCCTTGGTCATGCGATTCATGCCTGAAACCAAGGTTTGTGGATCTGAAGCCTGGTTTGTGGTTCTAGGTTTGGAGCACCATACCATGCTTGTGGGTTTCACAAAAGTGGTGAAATCTTCATCATTTCTAGCTTTCCTCTCACATAAAGCTGACACACCACAATGTTGGTTGTTTCGTTGTTTAATGGCGCACTCAGCAATATTCCAGCTATATGACGTCAGTCTCTAAATAATCAAGTCTGTACCAGACAATCCAGTGATCAACATCATGAGCATCGTCTACACAATTGGGATATACTAACCTGTGCTAACCAAGTCGCCAAGCCTGACCACCCGATCCCGTTGGTTGCCACTTTCAGCAAGCATGGGTAACTGAAGACCCATTCTAACCCGGATCTTCACAGGTCACATCACCATATACCTTTAAAAAAGCTTTAAACCCATCTCACTCACTCATTCACTGTTCTTGCAGGGGGAGACTGATCAGGCTCATCACTGTGCGTTCACGGCTGGAGGTGCACTTGTTGCTTGTGGTGCAGCTGTAACCACGCTGGCAATACACGAGATGCCCTCGTCTCAGGTAGCAGAAAAGATGATTTGCCTACCGAAATCAGGCACTCCTGGAAGTCCCGGTATGGATGAGGAATTGTGACTCTTTGATTCGGTACCACACTGTGCTACAATCTATGATTTCATTGAATAATGTTTGTTAGTTTGCTAATGTATACCAAACACTGCTTCCTATTAACTAGTCATTCCCGTCCTGCCTGCATTTTCAATGGTGTTAGAGCGGATGTCTGTGGGTAACACAGTTCATCAGTTCATCAATGCAGCGAACAGGAATCTATTACATGTTGTATTTTTTATGGTTTTGCAATTTTGAGCAAATAAAGATTGAAATGAGTCATGAACTTTGAAGGTTTTTAACATGATGAAGAGTGGTGAACTTAGTGTTGAGACATATATATTATTTTGCATGTGTGGCTTTATTGTTAAATGATATCATTGAGTGACCTGCCAAATATATGTTCTCATGCCTGTTGTATATTGTTCTGACAAGAAATGCCAAATGTTCTTTGTGTTTTGTTTGTTTTCTTAATCTTAGAGGGACGGTGGGGTAGCCTAGTGGTTAAAGCGTTGGCTCGTCACGCCGAAGATCCGGGTTCGAATCCCCACATGGGTACAATGTGTGAAGCCCATTTCTGGTGTCCCCCGCCGTGATGTTGCTGGAATATTGCTAAAAGCGGCGTAAAACCAAACTCAGTCAGTCAGTCTTAATCTTAGTCTAGTGGAGCGCTATAGTGCAGTGGTAAGGCGTCTGGCTATCATGCTGAAGGCCTGGGTTCGATCCCCGGTGGAGGCATTTAGGTTCGGGTTCCAGGGTGAGCACATTTGGGTAGTATGCTTGGACAAGATACTTGGATCCACATTGTCTCAGTTCACCCAGCTGTAAAATGGGTACCCCTGAAGATGTTCTGGCAGTGTGTGTTTTGTTCATTGTGCCTAACAGACAGCATGGCAGCATGATCCCCAGGGAGTTGAAAAAGTATCGGAAAGTAGGATAGTGTTTTATGACCGGGGATAGTAATGTACATAGCACCGTGAGCAGACAATGTGCCTGGATATGAGCGCCATATAAGCGGACTATTATTATTATTATTACTTATCCTGACTCATGCTCTTTTGCTTGTCTTCTTCTTCTTGCGACTATTATTATGTATAGACATCTATAGAGGTTTAGCTAGTATCCTTCAACGATTATATATTGATATTTAGTCGTTTTTTCTACAGTTTATTCACGGGCGCCCGTGTTTGTTTCAGTGGATTACGTTGATGAAAATTCTGTACTATTGCAGATTACGTTTTTTGGTTTTATGCTGCTGCTGATCCGCCTTTAATATGATGTGCGGTAGCCATGTTTATTATATTCACATTGCAGTTGCGGTACTAATTTATCCAATTCTACCTTTTTATTAATATTTACTGCGTTTGGCACGCACAGCAGATAGGTCAGCGTATGCAGACTCTAGTATGACTGATACACCTGAACCCTCGCCAGTCTACTGCTGTTGGCCGACTCCCTCCCGATTGTGGTGTTCGCTAGAGTGGTGGAGAGGTGTGGGGCGTAGTCCGCCATCTCCAAGAAGCATCCTGCTTCCCCAGACATCCCATCGTCGCAGCAGAAGACTAGAGGGTTTTCTACCACATCTCAACAGCCGAGACCGTTCCCATCGCCAGTTTGGGCCTGTTTGATGATCAGCCGGTCATCATACCAGATGTACATCAAAGATTGACCCGATGTCGGCTCAGATCAGCATGCAGCCTGATGTACCAGCGCCAGATATCGCGATGATCGTCCTGAGGGTCCCATCATTACCAACACTCCAGCGCAGGACGTCGCACACCCAGGGCAGCGCGTCGACCTCTGAGGGAAAATCAAGCGAATCTGAATCCAGATCATCATCATCTAGAAGGACATCGAGGGGTATACAAGAGCTTGCGAAACTATCAAGCGTTCCCCTCACAAGTCTCCGAGAAGATCAACCCATAGACAAGTTGATCATCGATATCAAGTATAAGAACTACAATCATTATATTGGTTCTGTTGAATCCATGCCAGAGACATATGTTAAGCTGGCCTAAATAGATCTAGAGCGATCAATTAGACACTTATCACCAGACTTCGTGTAACACGACTTCTGAATATGATAAGATGATCCATGCGTGACCCTACTTGCAGGCAAGCTTAGCCGATCCACATCCTGTTAAACACAGAGGCTGTTCACGAAGCAAAGCTCATATATATATTATATATATATATATATACTAATCGGGCTTTGACTTCGACACCTTAGCGATGGTCGCGAAGGCTAAAAGATAACTCAAGTCTACTTCACCCAGAAGATCTAGAAGGGATATGCCGAGAACTTGCGAAGTCTCGGCGTTCACCGAGGAAGTCTCCTCAAGGTTTCCATATACTAGCCACTTTCGTCATATATAGCTACTCGTCAGTCCGTTCAAGGCGTCGCATAAGTTGATTATCAACTGTATGCCAGATGCGAATCTATAAGCCCTCTGTAGCGAAGATAATTGCTCAGGCTATTTACAACACAGAGCGTGGCTGTATTATTAGTCAGCGACATTTCATAGATCTTCACAGAAATCAACTATTCCGTATAAATTGCTAATATACAATCCCGGACGGACGATCGATTATCTACATCGTGACCATTCGCATATCTGCAGACAATTCAATATCGAAATTGAACAGCAGCCTTGTTACAGCGAGTATAACTCTTAATGCGTCAAAGTTTCTGAGGAAGAAATATGTACAACAAGTTCAGCGTTAATTCTACAATTATGGCCGATACATTCATGTATACAGTCTACAAGCTCACAACTTGCAAGTTGTTTATACCCTTATATATATAAGGAAGTCGGAATTATATTCAAAACTGAAATTACTTTTCGACAACCAGGAAAATAACCTACCCAGCATAAAATTACAGGCGAGATATTTGGCGCCGAGGTTTATTAGCGATTACCATTAACCCTCGAAACGCGTGGTCACTTTCGGATAACCCGGGGAAGCTACGGTGAAGACCGACGTTTATGCTAATATCAGCGGCGACAAGAATTTATTCAAGGTGGGTTTTTCCGCTACACCGGTGACATCACAGCGGGTATTATACAGAATCAAAATGCCTTGTTCTGATTGGACCCTTGAGGGACAGCGACCTACACAGAGGTCGATCTCAATTCACAGTTCAAGACTTACGTCACAAGTGACAACTATATATCAGTGAGCGAGCAAGCCTCATTACAGTCCAGTTAACCTGAACATTCATGATTAGACTGCCTTTCTTCAAGTTAGAGACCTCCCCTGTCAGAGTTAAGACGAGGGATCGGCAGTCAGGCGATTTTACATAAAGTTCAGCGAGGGACAGACACACCTGGTTGTGCACCTACATCGTCAAAGGACCGCGGCGAATTACCTAGGCGAAGATACAAGTGGATCTAAATCCACAGCGTTTCAGAACTACAGCTGAATTTCATCAAGCGACTAACACAACTAGATGGTTAGTAAACCTACTAAACTTCTGTTTGGAGAATAAAACGGAAATTTCACGCCCAACCTGGGGATATGAATATAGTGCTCCAACACCTCACAAGTGAGGTTTATGAACACGCCTGGATGACATACTTGGACCCCATGATACGATGATTCTATCAAGTTGGCCAGCAAGAGCACTGTAAATTTATCTCCACCAAACCAAACAGGAGGAAAAATGCAACAGATTATTTCCTCTATCATCAACTTACGCAGAGTGAAGTCTCATGTACTATATCTCCATTTGGATCAGAACTGTCATACTACGTGCATATGCGGATGGACCTATTCCGACCCTCCATGAGCTTAATACTCATGATATTATAGCGCTAACTTCTACAATTGTTCTACACAAATGTGATTGAAATAATGGAGGGTTTATTTCTGGAAATCCGATATGGTGGTTGCAAACCATTATCTGAGAGATATCACCACCGAGGACGTCTCAGGTATACACCAATTCGATCCATGGTCCTCGCACAACAGCTGACAGTTCCTCGGAAGATAAGTCAATCTAACAGATTTTTACTTATCTTATAACAATACTAAATAGCTTCATGCTATGTATAATTTACTTAAGTTCCTTTTATCATCACAGTACTATGATTATTACATCATACAATATATAAGTTAACAACTCTACAGAGTTTGTTATTATATATATTTACCTTAAGTTATTCATATCTTAAGAGTAATACTATGGTTACATGATAAATGCATTAGCTAACAAACTCTACAGAGTTTTTGGCTATTTTATACATAGCTTAAGTTAATTAAGCTAACAAACTCTACGGAGTTTTACTATTATATAGGTAACTTAAGCTAATTATACCTTAAGCATAGTACTATACTCATATTATTAAAATATATTGGCTAACAAACTCTAAGGAGTTTTGCTATTATATAGGTAGCTTAAGCTTATTCATATCTTAAGCTTAGTACTATGTTTATATCATATAAGTAGATTAGCTAACAAACTCTAAAGAGTTTTTTGCTATTTGGCTTAAGTATCATCATATTTCTAAGCAATATGGTTATATTATAACATGTATTAGCTAACAAACTCTACAGAGTTTTAGCTATTATATATGTAACTTAAGCTTATTCATATCTTAAGCGCAGTACTATGTTTATATCATATAGGTATATTAGCTATCAAAACTCTAAAAGAGGGTTTTGCTATTATATATTTCAGCTTAAGTTTCATCATATTTTAAGCTTTATGGTTACATTATAACATGTATTAGCTAACAAACTCTACGGAGTTCTTGCTATTATATATGTAGCTTAAGTTTTCCTTCATAAGCTCAATACTAGGTTTATATCATAGCTAACAAACTCTAAAGGGTTGTTTTCGCTATTATACAATTAGCTTAAGTTTCATCATATCTTAAGCAGTATGTTTACATTATAAAGGTATTAGCTAACAAAACTCGACGGAGTTTTGTTATTATATATATAGCTTAAGTTTCATCATAACTTAAGCTCAGTACTATGTTTTTAACATAAAAAGTATATTAGTTAATAAACTCTAAGGAGTTTATTTTTGCTATATACTTTTAGCTTAGAATCTAATCTTATCTTAAGCTTAGTACTATGGTTACACTATAAACATATTAGCTAATAAACTCTACAGAGTTTTTGGCTATTATATATGTAGCAAGTTAATAATATCTTAAGCACAATACTATACTCATATTGTAAAATATATTAGCTAACAAACTCTACGGGTTTTGCTATTATATATGTAGCTTAAGTTCATTATATCTTAAGCACACTACTATACTCATATTGTAAAATATATTAGCTAACAAACTCTACGGGTTTTGCTATTATATATGTAGCTTAAGTTAATTATATCTTAAGCACACTACTATACTCATATTGTAAAATATATTAGCTAACAAAACCCTACAGAGTTTTGCTATATATATGTAGCTTTAAGTTAATTATATCTTAAGCT